TTAAACAACCTTTTGTAATTTTGGGTGTATATTGTGCATTTGTGTTTTATTTGATAACTAAGAAGAAGGTATGGTTTCCATAAAAAATTTGCCCTGTGGTTTTCTCTAAAGGAGAAAGTCCGAAAACTGTCCATTCTGTGAGAGAAAGAACTGTTTGAGGCCCGAAGGGCCGAGAATAGTTTTTTCTCTCACAGAATGGACAGTTTGAGGACTTTATCCTACTTAAAACATTTTCTCTATTGTTAACTTAATAAACTGTCCCAGGTGATGGTAATGTATTTGCTTTGATTACGTCATACACTTGATTGTCCAGAGAGTGAGAGAAGAAAAGAATATAGCTGTATTGTTTAACTTAATGGACAGTGCCAGGTAAATTTAGATTTAAATGATAGCTCACTTGATTTCTGACCACTTCCCATGTAAAGCTTCATGAAAGAGGATGTCCTCATCAGATGGAGAAAGTAATGTATATTTCTCAAAAATACAGAAAAAAGGTCGGTAAGTACTCAAAAGTAGGTAGACACAAGCAGAAGCCTGTAGGTATGCAGAATCTGAAGTTGTGTTCAAGTTTTGACAAAAAATATCGCAATCTTTGTGAACAATCAGGATTTAAGGGACACGTATACGAAACATTGTTTGAGAACAACACCGGCGACCCGCTTGTATGAAGCTGAGATTAGGAACAGCAAAAACATGTAACAGAGAAAACGGGACACAAATCTATTACAGTTATATCCTACAATTGAACCAACAATGAATAGTAGCAGAGAGTAAATGAAATAATTCATGGAAATATGGGGATTCAGATAATGGCAGGTGTATGAAAAAGATGAAAATTTGTGATCCCTGTCCGAAAAATGATTCCACCTTCAGTACATCTAGTGAGGTTACCATTTCATCAGGAAATATGCCTTAATTCTCTTTTAAAATTTAAATTGTTGTTGGATATTTTTTTAACATTCACGGAATGGATCTACTACGTCATTTACAACTGTTGTGAAGAGGATGAGACGTTTGTTTATTAATAAAAAAAAATTCTGGATGTGGATGTTCTAAAATCATTATCCATCAGGATATCACATTTTTGCATTGGATTCATCATTTCCAAAGAGGATATACTGTTGAAGTTTTCAAATACATGTACAAATGTTTGATATTCATGCATAATTGTGTATTGAATTAAAAAAATTGTTACTTCTTTTCATTACGAATGAACATGATGAAGTTCAGAAAAATGTTTTGCATTTTATGTATTGTTTTCAACATTTAAAACCTGTACATTAAGTTACCTGTAATTGTACATTAAGTTGACAAAAAGCTGTAGATTAAGTTAAGAATTGAGAGTTTTGTCAACTTAATGTACAGTTACAGGTGACTTAATGTACAGGTTTTAAATATCCAAATATATTATGCTATATAATGTACTAAAAACACAAAGGATTACATAACAAAAATGTTTTTAAAAAAATGAAACTGGTGTAAAAGTTGAAGACTCATGCTTTTTAAATAATTGAAATTCAATGCAGAAAAATCATACAAGTCATTTTTCTAACATGTGTTTTTAAATGCTAATTATGACGTCATAAACATGTGCATTTTCCCGATTTTCTTAAAAAGTTGCAGAAGACACCAATTTTCAATGGAATTTTCTTTCAGATAACATTGTCCACAGGCATCGCCCACAAAGATCTTGAGATATGTGATTTGTTATTAAATTTTGCACAAAATATAAAAAAATTAACGTGGGCGACGGCTGTGGACGCTTTTTTCTAAAGGAAAATCATCCTTGAAATGTGCCATTTTTAGGCTTTTTCTGTTGAAAATAGAGAAATGATTCACATTTATGACGTCATATTTTCAGAATGGTAAACCTCCGTGCCATATTCTTCCCTGATTTATCAGAGTCATTTATTTAACTAATATTTAAGCCAGTTTCAAAACTTTTTGATGTCATTACATTTTTAGGGCGCAATAAAGTTAAAACCATACTTTCTTCTTTAGTACCAAATATTATTTCCAATGGAATTGATAATTATTTGTACATGTATTACATTGATAAACATGATAAAATCAGCTTTGTGGGTTAACAGAGCTTAATTTAACTAGGCTCGATCAAGATTAAACTTTTATCTACACTGTGTATTCAATTGGGAAAAAGTCAGAGTAAGTGATTATTAAATATTGACCAATTTGACTTCCCTAATATTTTTTTGTATTTTTTTTCTCTCTCAAAAGCCTACTATTATAAGTAATCATGTATTTGCATGTATTTAAAAAGAATGAAAAGAAAATACGCAAGTCAACAAAAATAAAAAATGTCAAAATATACTTTCAAAAATAGTATTAGGTTCATTTTTGCCATCTTACAAGAACATTTGTTATGCTATCAAAAATATGTATCATAACTTACGAAAAATTTTTACACTAGAAATATATTAAATTGATGTACTCACCTTCAGAGATGTGTTTCTGGTTGTGCTGAGTTGAGTTTTCTTCTGCCATTTAGAGGTGACACGGAGCAAATTCACTATGCAATCTTAATTATATCCCACTTTCTGTTAGCTGTCTCCGTAGCAGGGGCACATCTATACAGACTAAATTACAATGTAGTTCTTCTGCATGAGTCTTAATTTCTGTCCAAATTTTACAGTTTTGGCCCATCCTTTAACATACATGCATGTATTTACATTAAATGAGAAAGGATATATAAATGTATACACAAACTCGGCATGATAATTCCTCAAATAATTTCTCCCAGGCATGTAATCATGGTAATTATGGAGTACCAGTTCGTTCGATAAGATCCAACCATAACAGCTATCAGATTACGATATCTAAAGCATGCCTGCATAGGGAGGCGACATTTTCATTAATCAAGTTAAAACAATAAAAGATAAGGGTGACAATAAAAGATAAGCTAATCACAAAGCGTGAGTTACCTTGCTTATTTGAAGAGAAGGCCTGTCATTCCATTCAACCATTGTAAATCATTTGTGCTCCACGTGGGTTTGTTGATAGTAATTTCACGCTGAATCGTCCTATGTTAGATTATTACGCGAATGTAGTACATATAAATAAACAATTGATAAAAGGAGTTACATACCTCTTTTCTTCTATTTTATATAAGATTATTGAAAAGATTAGTTTCTCAGTAGCTATGTACCTGTCATAAATTCTTAAACATAACTACCTACTTGAACTGTTTTGTCCCTCGTAGTATTTCTAAAGATCGCTTCAGGACCCCGTGCTAATCAAATGTTGAACCCGATTTGTTTTTGTGTTGTCGTTCGTTCTTCTCTCATACGCGAAACGTATCAGGAGTATTAAAATAACTATTCGTTCTATTATTAGGCTATTATTTATATTGGACTTTTTTTACTTCAATCAAAATAAATTGTTAAAATAAATTCGCCATAACACGCTTTTTGATATTATGATAATAACGATAAAGATTGGGAAAGGGGTCGAATATGATTTAGCGAGTTGTTTGCCCTTAGTTTAAAGTACATCCGTTTGGAGTACCATGAAACGGGGCAAACATCTTGAGAGGTCGAAAGGTCAACAAAGCAAATGTAAAAGGCGGCTTCCGCCTAAAAATTAACGTGTTACACATACCCCTTTTTATGTGCCTTAACTGTAAAAAAAAAATCAAGTGTAATTTAAGCTGACACAATCTACAGGGCAAGAAAGATTATCTGAAAATTTCAAGGCGCCAGATTTAGGAATTTTTCAACTTAAATTGACGTTTATCATCATTTAAAAATTTATAAAAAGTTTAAAAACATAAATTTAAATACAAAAAAATAGTCAACAAAAATCTGCGGATGATTTTTTGAGGAATTTCTGGTTATTTTACGTATAACTCACTTGGTAAATTTACATGTATGCCCACAGCAAATTACATCAAAAACTTTAGGCGCGTCCAACATTCCAATATTATCTTAGATAGATGTTAGGGGATAATTTTCTCATTATTTAGCTCCTAATACATTGCTTATCACACTACATCAAAATTTTAGTAGGGACTGTCTAATAAAATAAGAAAGTGGGGTCAATGTTCACATGAAGACTTAAAAAAATGATAATCTTAAATTTATGTGTCGCTTATTAGAACACCAACATGTCCAGAGATGTCTACATGTATCTAATATAAATATTATATACATGTACTTTTAAAAAATGATGATCTTGTGAATCTGATTTACAGAAGCAGATGAATTATGTGTGGTGGTGGTGGGGGGGTGTACATCATTCTTTACTAATTTTATAGCACACAGTACAATCATGTATGTAGTGTAATGATATCTGAAAAATTGTTGATTAAGTTACTTTCTGTTATGTATAGTATACAGAAACCAATTTTGGGACAATAACATCAAATCATCTCCAACTTCTTATTAAAGAAACAGTATTTAAAATGTTGGGAAATACTCTGTTGTTGACTATAAAACCCTATTGCAAGGAGATTAAATGTAAATAGCAATACAGTAATAGTTACTTACTGTGATACTACCAGTTCTCGAATGATTTTCAGAGTAGAACCTTGATATGTTAACAGACAAAAGTGTGAAATCCAGATATTTATATCACTTTCATATTGTTTTTATATACTCATATGTTATTTGATAATTTTGCTACCTGTCAGCATCATTAAGGAAACTCTAACACTGAGTGATGATATTGTAGGGTAGTTTATGCAGTAAGAGTGACCTGCCCTTATATTCAAAAGATGGAACAAATGGTAACAATTGTAACAGGTCAAAGTGTTCTCAACAATTTTAAACTAGGCCTAAATTAAAATATTGTTTGTTTGCCCTTAGCCGACCGACCCTCGAAAATTAGCCCAGCTCAAAATATTTTATTCCATTTTTCAATAACATTTTTTTTATTGTCAATAAAAAATTCCAGACGTACTAATACATTTTGTTCCATGAAGCATAAGTATGTAAGTATGTACATGAACTTATTGATCTTTTTTTATTTTAATAGTACATGTAATTTGATTTGAAGTCAAGAAGAAAAAAATAAAATATGCTTCCTACCTACCTACCCATTCCTAAAAATCTGGGTTGGTAAATGGCCAACAAACATATTTTTAATTTTGGCCCTAGGATAAAGTAAATGAATACATTATTTGCATGCATTTTACCAATGTAAGGAAACAACCATTATTTCTGCTCAATGATACATACATCATTATCTTAATATTTTTCTTCAACGGGGAAAGATATTGTAGTACCCTATGTTAAAAATAAACTAGATATAAAATGCAATATGTACACTTTTATGTGAAACATTTATTTTTAAAGTCCCCAAAACATTTTTACTTAAGGTATAGAGCTTCTTAAGATTTGTGCAGAGCAAACTTTGCAAAAGTCACCTCTTCTGTTAAAATATTCCTACTCTTGTTTTAATAACATTTAAATGGTTGTAATGAAGTTTGTCATTCAAATACACTATGTCACTTTCCCTCTTACTTCATTCACAGTGTTCTTTTCTTCAGATTTATGTTTCTCATAAAGTTTTCTGATCTGCATCATTAATTCCTCCACCCCTGTCTGTTTGGCAGCAGAAATAGCAATAACAGGTAAGTCCACATTGGCTTTTAACACCTCCAGATTTTTCTCCGCCACACTTAGATCCACCTTGTTGGCCACGATCAAATTAGGTCTCGTGGAGAGTCCCTCTTGGTACTGTTCCAGTTCGTACTGTAGGGCCCTGAACTGGGTCCAGGGCTCGGTGTAGGACAGGTCAATCACATAGAGGAGACAGGCACAGCGGTGTATGTGTTGTAGAAAGGAGAAGCCCAAGCCCAGGTTCTTGTGGGCTCCCACGATCAGGCCCGGGATGTCTGCAACTGATCAATAGAAACAACAAATACAGCTGAACTTTTTTTATCTCGAATTTTGATATCTTGAATACCATGTTCATGTATATGTCAAATTGAGTTTAAATTCCCAACCAAGTTTCCTCTATGTATTTTAGCTTTGAAATTTATAATTTTCATAAATTAAATGCCCATGTTACTGAGAAAGTATGAGCAGAGGGTTTCATTCGAATCCTGATTTAAATCAATTACAGTCAAACCTGATTACCTCTTACTCAATGCAGCTCAGAAAAACTTTTGAGATAGTTGATGATTTCAAAAGTTTATATGAAAACTAATTATCAGTACTAAGGGAAATAACTCTAGCTTACGTTTTCATCAAGATCGAAATATTATTGGTGTAATAGATGTACAAAATCATTTGAGAATCAATGTTCTTACCTGTAATTTGCTCATGGTCTGAATACTCCATGATCCCAACATATGGGTTTCGTGTTGTGAAGGGATATGCTGCTACTTTAGGTTTAGCTCTAGTAACAGCCCTCAGAAGAGTGGATTTTCCAGCATTTGGAAATCCTATCTGTAAATAAGGAAATATGAATGAATTGAACAAATGTGGATTAACAATATCTGGAGAAAAAATTAAAATTGATTGGTTTAGTTCTCAAATCCTCAGATCCTCTAAAACGGAATATTTTCATCTTATTGATAATAAAAGGTAATGGTGATCTAAATTCCTAAAATATAAGTCTTGGATGATGAATTTGTTCAATAGACAAAAATTTTGTACCAGTTTTAAATCCTAGAGAGTGATAAAACAAGCTTAAGGTTATTTATCCTGACTAACCAGGCCAATGTTAGCCATTGTTCTCAGTTCTACTCTCAGGCGGTGATGCTCTCCCTTGCCTCCTTTCTCCGCTATGGTGGGGGCTCTGTTTTCATTGGACAGGAAGAATTGGTTGCCCTTTCCCCCCACTCCTCCCCTCCCTGCTACATAGTAGTCTCCATCACACTCCAGGTTAGCGAGTTCCTGACCATTCATTGAGCTGATCACTGTTCCCATGGGAACCTATCAAAATACCAAAATCTCTAACTCAGAAATCAAACATTCTTTCAAAATTATTAATGACAATTTATTATGATTTCTAATTTAAAATGTTTTTTTTTTATAACATTAAAACACTTTAACCAGAAATAAATAAATGCTGGATTGTAGATTATAAAACAAACAAATATTATTTAAAAAAAAAAAAACTACATGTACATGTTAAACAGTGTTAGATACAGTATATTCAATAATATAATGTTTCTAACTTTACAGGAACTATTTATTTACTTTGATGTATGTGTGATCTACAGAGGCACCATGGCAGTTTTGTGATTTTCCAGCTATTCCTTTGTCAGCTCTGATGTCTGAAGATAAATGATTCAATGATTTCTCTGTACTGGAGGCTGAAATGGGAAGGTAAATCTAAGGGGTTAAAATATTCTAGTATCAATTAAAATTGCAAATAAATGTGGAATAAATTTATGAGTACCTCAATGCAAGCCCTGTTCAAAAGCTTTAAAAATCCCTAATGTTATATTCAATCAATTTCATTTTGAATTTAATTTCAATGAAAACAAGATGTGTTTGCCAAACACTGATGCCCCCGTATGACAAGGATAAACTTTCTCAAATGCAAATCAAATATGTTGGTATCCAAAGTAGGGCCTTCTAACAAGAAATACAATTGTGAAAAATATGAAAGCCCTGGCGCCACGTGTTCAAAAGTTATGGCCAAGGTTAAAGTTTTTTTAAAGGTAGGTCAAACTCCAAGGTCAAGGTCAAAGTTGTTGGTTTCTAAAGAAAGGTCTTGTCATATGGGTTACATATGTGAAGTATAAAAGCCTTAGTCTGAACTATTCAAAAGCTATGGCCAATATTCAAGTATTTTTTTAAAGTAAGTCAAATTTGGTGGTACTCAAAGAAAGGTCTGTCACAAGGAATACACCTGTGAAATATGAAAGCCACTGCCCCCATGACCCAGTTTAAAGTTATGGGCAAGGTTAAAGTTTTTTCAGAAAACAGACGGACAGACAAGGCAAAATATATATACCCCTGAATCTTCAATTACGGGGGCATATAAAAATCATTTCAGGCTGAAATCATTATGACTGTGCTTTTCTGCATGAATTCTTTTTTACAGCACAAATATATTATACTTGTACATAGTAATAAATTCCCATGACAATTATATTAGAAGAGAGATCATCAGTCAGTTTTGCTTAAAATTGCTATATCCATGATTTTTTTTCTCTGAATAAAAACTGACACATAAAATAGTAGACAAACAGTTTCCTTTTTATTTGCAAGAATGATATCTAGAACACCTCATTTGTAATTTATTAATTCTTTAAGTTAAAAATCCTCACCTACGAATATAACGTGTCCCCCATTCCCCCCATCTCCTCCATCAGGCCCAGCAAATTCTTTCCTGGGAATTTTTGCAAATGACATACAACCATCTCCACCATCACCCCCATATACCTGCACCTCTTTATAATCGACAAAATGTTTAGCCTGAAAAAAAGGTAAGTCATTCAACAAAATCATAATTATTTCAAATTTATAAAAATAAAATCAGGTTTAAAGGGATAAACTTGTATCGAAATGAATGATATGAAAAAAAAATTACATGTCTCCGAATTTTCAATTAAGGAGGCATACAAAGTCAATGTTTTGATGAATTTTACAATTTTGTTCAACCTCTACCTCATTGGTGATGCCTTTCTTTGTTCGGGGCAATAATGGTTTGTATGATGAAAACGCAGCGATGAGGTTCTTTTCAAAACACTTCTTCAACAACTTTAATTTACTATATGAAAATGATTTTAAAGTAAAGCGTCGTAAAATTTTCATTTTTTTTTCAACATTACAATGAAAATAACCGAGTAAATTCGAAATGACAGGTGCTTTGAGATAAGTCGTACGTAATCCTATTCTGCTTTCAAAAAATATTTTTAATCATGAGCATTTCTATTTTTTAAAGATGTTATTTTTTCTTTAAATATTGAGAGCAAGTAAATCATTCATAAAATCTATTCCACAGTTGGACTCAAATGTTTTTATTACATTTATTTTCTATAAATCAATGAACGAGTTAACTTTCAACATATAAGTATGGGGTAAAACAAGTCCCAATGATAAATGAATGCAGAAGTCTCCGAGGCCTTAAAATAGATCATATAGTATATGCATCAATGTTCAAACGTGTTATATAAGTTTTTTGAACAAAATATTTGAATAAGACCACATATCAGCCGGTATTTCAGTTATTTATTTGGTTTCAGACAAATTACCCATATCTCAGGCATTTACTGCGTGACTAGAATCAGACCAGGGTCAAAGTTGACCAAGATGGTTGTGAAAACTGAGGAAGAGGTTATCCAAAACTCTATGACAGAGGATGATCCGAATTCAAATTCGGAGGCAGCTTCAAGTAAACAACCAAGATGGGGCCCACAGCATGCAGGTGCCAAAGAGTTGGCCTCTCATTACTCCAAAGGTAAGCCTTAGGAAGTTGCTTGACCAGTACCTTGACGACCGGTGTATTATGAAACTTTTTTTTTCGTTATGAAAAGGGAAGTTTTTATGTTTTGATAGAAAGAAAACCTGTATCTTTTTCTTTCTGTTTATATACAATCAATTTTTGCCAACCACACCCAGATTTCAAGTATTTTATTATTTGGGACCAAAAATAGATTTTCAAGTACATTGCCCACAAGCAGGTGGGGCTCATCAGGTGCATAGTCAAAATTCACTTGCCCAACCTGAATTTTTACTTTCCCCACTATAAACTTAAAGTGGTTTGACACTTACATTTATTTAAAGATAAATTGAAGTAATCTCCCTATCTTGTTCTCTATGGAAACCTTGGATTACTTTTTGGTTAGTTAAGATTTTTTTTTAATGAAAGCTAACCAGTATTTCCATTACTAACATGACTAACTTAGTTACAGTAGACATTGTTCAATATACATTCGTATTTTATTTTTCAGGGAAAAGGGTACAAGAAACTATATGTTTAACTGTTAGTATTGCATTGATGGCCTTTAACCTGAGTGCCCTGGTGCTTCACTTCAAAGTAGAAAATTGGTACATGGTCCTGATCTGCTCATGTGAGTACAATAAATGACTTCCAACTATTGAGTTACTGTAGAAGCACAAATTTTCACCTAAAATAGTTTTGTGGACATTTCATTTTGTTGTTTTGAAAGTAACCTTATCAGTATATAGTCTTATGAAAATTCTGTGTGTGATTCAATTTTGTCAATATAATAATACTTGATATCGTGATTACTTAACTTAGCGGAACTCTTTTGCAATGGAGGTAGGAAACGTCTGCTGGATTGGGGCAAATGTGCTATTGAATACAATGTAAGATCGATCATTGTAAAATTTATAAGGACAAATAATTAAAAAAATCCTGGCGGAATACCTTGCTGAACAATCGCTGAACCAACCTAATTAATTTTTGAGAGGAGCTAGTCCTAAAATGTTACATTTTGTACGATATTTTTAACTAAGTGGACTCTTCTTATTAAATTTTCATTGAAAATCGTTATATTGTAAAGCTGATAAAATTTTCTAAACTTTCCTTATTTGACAGTCTACTCTTTGGAGTTCAATTCTTGGCAATACATTTTACGTTCGGCATAAAATTGTTCAAATCATTTGATTGTCACTACTGTAAACAATGCCATGTGCCCCAGTAATCTCGCGAGATTTAGAGCTTTCTCAACTCCCCCTCAAAAGATTGGTAGTAAGTTAGATAACTGCGAGGTACTCACAATATTACAAATTATTGTTTACAGCTAAATAAATGAAATTTAATCCTCGATGAATATTTCTGCTTTTACATATTGTAAAATAATAAAAAAATTAATTCTGTTAAATACCAATCTAATTGATAAAATCAAATCTTCCATCCACTCGTGGTTTTACTATACATCACGTGAACATATAGAAATCTGGTGGGCAGATGTAAAGTTTAACTTTAATTAGAGTGTTCTGTTGACATTTACTGTTAGTTATGTATATATATGTAATTCGATCATCTGTTGAGATAACAATTCAGAAATTTGCATTCATATGTTTTTAATTGATTATGAAGATTTTTTTTTTGCAGTGTTAGGAATAGTGGTGGCTGACTTCTTTAGTGGACTGGTTCACTGGGGAGCAGACACCTGGGGCTCCATAGAAATCCCGGTCATTGGCAAGGTAGCTGCTTTTAAATAACTTACTAGAAATAGCAGATCCCCCCACTCTTTTGCAAAAGTTTGGGTAAATGAAATCTCATTTTTCCTCACCTGTAACAAAGCCATGACCTTTGACTTCACAAACTTGATCTTCAAGTTTGAAACTATTATATTTTTCACTTATTATTTTACTTATCCTTTCAGGCCTTTATCCGTCCTTTTAGGGAGCATCATATAGACCCCACCTCCATCACGAGACATGATTTTATAGAAACCAACGGTGATAATTTTGCCGTCGTAGTCCCCTTTCTGGGTCACATGGCCTACAAGTTCGTCACGCTGTCTCCAGAGGAAATTGACAAGACGTACAACTGGGAGTGCTTTGTGTTTTTACTGGCCATCTTTGTCAGTTTGACCAATCAGGTACACATATGACTTCAAGCTTTCAATGCTGTTCACTCTCTTGTGCTGGTTTTAAGATTGTTGCGTAATATAATTGAATAATAATACAGTAAAACTTGTTTAGTACGAACACGGATATCGTGAATTCACGGATATAGCGTAAAATATATATATTTTGGATCCCCAACTAAATGAATTTAATGAATTTCTTATACGGATACAACGAATTTCGGAAATAGTGAAGTAATTTCATAGTTCCCTTTGACTTTGTTATAACAGAGTTTTACTGTAAACATAATAAATACAGTGTTCCATTGTATTTTCTGTCTATCTATCCATTCTAACATTAACGTAAAGTACCTCGTATATGCAATGTGAACAAATTTCAGAAATATGGAGAAACAATTTTTCTAGGTTGTAAAGGAAAAAAATTCTTCTCTGTAGTTTTTGTCATACACCAACTCTATTAAAATTACAGCTATCACAGGGGCTGGATATTTTTTAATCTTGTTAACAATTTTTCATTTTTCTCTGTTTAGTTTCACAAGTGGTCTCATACCTATTTTGGATTACCCAAGTGGATAACTTTTCTACAAGACGCGCACATTATCCTACCGAAAAAGCACCACCGAATCCACCATGTGGCACCCCACGAGACCTATTTCTGTATCACCACGGGCTGGCTCAATTATCCACTAGAAAAAATAGGCTTCTGGACATCTCTAGAAGACTTGATTGAAAGATCCACTGGGAATAAACCAAGGGCGGATGACTTCAAGTGGGCCCAGAAATGTCAATGATGATAATTTAGATAAGATATATATTTTTGAATTTATATGCTGTATTTATAAGGGGGAGACAAATATGTGTTACCAATCTGGGTTTGATGTACCTGTGTCACAGAACCAATCATTTTTGAGGAGAACAACCAAGATCCTGGTAATGTGTAGTTTTTGTATTCTTTTACAAGCAAAAAGAAAAAATCAATTATAAAATTGTACTTTTTACATGTCTTGTAGTTTTTTTCTTTGCATTTTTATTCCTTTTCATTTGTATGTGTATCCAAATAGACCAAGTTTGTTTAATGATTTTGAACTTTACTATTTTATGATTTTGAACTTTACTATTTAAATTATTAGACCCTGGAAGATGTGCAATAGCAGAAGGGAGAACTGTTTCTGTGTTGCTTTTAGTGTGTGTAGACCACTGATTTGTGTATTTATAAAATGATACAAGGATTTTAGATTTTTATCCATGTTTTATATAAAAATTGACTTTGTTAGTCTTATTTTAAATAACATTAAGTTCAAGTTTCTATGTTATCTTAGATTATATTTAATGGAAATATTAGCTTGATTTTTGGCACATTTATTAATAATTAATCTATCATGTCCATTCAACCCTTCCCTCTTTAATTGAAAGAGTAATGATCTGACTTGTTTATGTAGTGATGTATAATGATAGCTTCACTCTTTTTATCTCCTTCTAACATACATGTAGATTGGGGACAGATTTGTTGACTTTTTGACTTATATAACTTGAAGTGTTTGTTTATCAGGTGTTATATTTTCTGTAAACAAGGTAAAGTACACTAGGGCGGTCATTGTTCAAATCAACACGAGATACAGTTAAAAGGACATGCTTTCTGTTTTGTCTGGTTTGTGCACGTATTTATTATTTTATTTGAGTACAATGTTTAGTGTCATTAAATGTTGCGTAGTACATGTACTTGATACATGTGTAATTAAGAGGCATATATTTTTTTGGCGGTTACATATTATAGCCTTCTTAGATAGAGTTTATATAATTTATAAAGCAACATCAAGTTTTATATAGGTCATAATTAAAGGCTGGTATATTTATTATGGCTTATTCATACCGGTATTTTTTACATTATGAGGAAGATGTATAGATTCCGGGTTCAGCTCACAGATAATTCAAATTTATGTTATTGTGCAGAAGTTTTATCATGGGTACAAAACATAAATGATTATTTAAGCCCGTTATGCATAAATTATCCCATGTTTCCCACTATTGTTGATGTCCTTGGCATACTATACTAACTGGACAGTGATTCCTTATATTTCCATTTCATTGTGAAATAAAACTGTAGATTTAGACTTTAAAAATGCAGACATAGATTTAAATTACACGAGGATTCCCATCCCAATTTCAATAGTCCTTGCCCACCACAGATGCGCACGATATTTGCATGCATATTAGGCCTCCTTAGCTCCTGACCTATTGACCTGCCTAATTTACATTCCGGTAAAATTATCAAGAAATTAACTCCGCTAACTTTCAAAGAGTTATTACAGAGAGTAAAATTAGAAATGGAAATATTTATCCATCTCTTTATGACATGCAAACAGAAAGTAATTCATTGATAAGTTTTGTATTGTTTGACTTAAATGGAATGCAAAAGATGATCATGGACGAAATTTGCTTAATGTAGGTACTAAAAAAGGGAAAATTGTTGTCACCAATAAGATGTTACTTTTAAATGCTGATATTAAAAACATGTTTATGTTATATAGCTTGTGGGTATTAATGTGAACAAATCTATTATGGATCATGTGTACCTGTAATTTTGACTCTCTATGTTGTATTTTCTTTAATTTACATGATTTTTGTGTTGTATGCCTGTAAACTTGATTTTTTTTTTTCTTACTAAAATATTTTTCAGTTCAAAGCAGAAAAATCAAATAAGCTTCTTAAAAATTCAAAGATGTCTACAAAAATAAAATCTTTGTTGCTTTTTCACATACTTTTTTAAATGACATATCATGCCTTCTATGTTAAAACTACTAATTTAAATGTTCATCTTAGAATGTTTCATTGCACACCATTTTTACTGTACCATACAAGGGAGGTAATGGACTGTTATTCTCAAGATTTTCGAACCTTGTTTACTTGTATCAAAATTTAAAAGAATCCTACAGAAGCAGTAGTGGATATGTGAAGTTTGTATAATTTTTTTTTCATATTGGAGGAGTATTTGCAGAGACCAGTATACAACAGCTTACAGTGTAGGAGCCATACATGTATAAATTATTTTCCTTGAATGTGTGCCTTGCTTTCTTGTTGTCAGTATAAAATGAACAAATAGGGTAACAGTTGTGTTGTTTTCTTTTTATTCACTTCATCCACTATGCCCCATGTAGGGGCATCAGGCTGCCACTTCCTTCAGAGCAGTGTTAAGTCTGTCTCTGCAACTTAGAAGTACTGTAAACAATGCCTTCTTGTCTATTTGAAGTGCATGCTAATATATGATTAAAACAAATACAGATTGAATGATGTAGGTTCAAAATGGGTTACCATATTTTATGACTATGCTAATCAGTTGATTAGAAAGATTAGGCTAAATTCTGAGTGTGCTAATTAATGTATGATTACCCTTGGGTTCTTTTAATATTTTCACCTGTGTAACCAGCTCTCTAAACATGCTCTTGTGCCTTTTCCATCGGGTGATCGAGGCTCATTTCCTGCATCCCAGGTTACAAAGTTTTAAAGTAACTTAATGCCCAAGAGAAGCATGGATGTCTGGCTTATTAGCTCACAGCCGATGCTTTTCTTCACATTTTGTCTACTTTTCATTTTTTCGAAGTGCCAATTTTAATCAAACTTGGTACAAAGCATAATATATGATTAAAACAAATACAAAAATAGATTGAATGATGTAGGTTCAAAATGGGTTACCGTATTTTATGAACAAATCTTTAAAAATCTTCTTCTCAAGAACTAATCAGTTGATTAGAAAGATTGGGCTAAATTCTGAGTGTGCTTTTAATTAAATATATAGATCTTTAAAAATCTTCCTAGGGTTCTTTTAATATTTTCACCTGTGTAACCAGCTCTCTTTAAAAATCTTCATGCTCTTGTGCCTTTTCCATGACGGGTGACAATCCAAGTTTTACATAGAAATATATAGGAAAAATCTTTAAAAATCTTCTTCTGCACTCCCAGGTTACAAAGTTTTAAAGTTTTAAAATCATAAAGGGGAAGGGGGTAATGATAGGTATAGCCAAGAGAACCCAAGTTACTCAGGTGGATGTCTGGGCCTCTTGTCTGTTTCATTGTACCAGCCAGGTTTCAGATGCTGCATTTTGAACCAACATTTTTCTATAAGAATGACCAGGTTTCATTCCCAAGGAACTCTTAAGCCCTTTGGTGACCAAACTTGCATGGAAAATACATTTAGGGATGTTTTTAGGGAGGTATTTTTCATCATTTGTGTAAGAAGAGGTTTACACATTAAAAGTATTGCACACAGGTCCTTCATTTAGTGGAACTCTTCAACTCCAGGGAAGAACCCAATAAAGTTCAAACTACATTGCGTATGACCTTAATCTGAAGTGATAGCAATGATAGCAATTTCTGCTCCACTGACGTCTTGTGGAATAACGTACGAGATCCTTCTATAAACTTTTGTTTCATTAATTCACTTTTAACAGTGAAAAATTCATCACAGATTAGAATCTAAAATTCTTTTAGCAATAATTTTTCTTCTACGAGTTGATTTCCGATATAATAAGTAAGAATAGGTAAAATAGTTTATTATCAAGTTTTTTTTTTTAGGAATTGTATGTACAAAAATTAGATGTTTATCAAAGTTTGATTAAAAACAAAACAGTTTATCATCAGAAAATTCAATATGCATAAAATTATTTTCATTCTGATTAAAATTACTCTTACATATATCCAACTGTTCTATTATGTTCCAACATAACAAGGTCAAAGTTTGATTGAATGGACATATTAAAATCCCAGTAATATATTAAAATTCAAAACATACAAGCAAATTGGTACATTTAATTTTGTGCTGGTAAAATGAAAAGCCAAAGCACTAAAATGTTAGAATATAAACAAGACAATAATTTCCATTTGTTGGCAAAAATATCTATTGCTATTAATTTTTCCTTTTTTTTTAATTCTCTCACTGCAGTAATATGTGTTTAATAGTAATATATTTCTAATTTATAAAATTTTTTGAGAGGCCAGAAAACAATTATTGTACATAAATGCTTGTAGAATTCCTAAAACACTTTTCCAAAAATTTCCTCGTTTTGCAAATAAATGAAAAAGAATGTATACATGTAGTTGTGCCCCTTTCACAGTAAAGTAAATGTAAGGAATTCTGCATTTCTTAAGTAATTTTAATTGCTTGTATATATTTTATGAAAAAAATGTCTGAAAACCTTGCAATCGTAAATTCAAACAGGTTTAGATCTTATCATTTTAATACAAAGTTTGTAGTATGCAATTTTTATGGCACATACAAAATTTTAACTACCAAAAAATATCAGGTAGCACATTAAAGATACAAATAAGATATAGCAAACCTAAAAACTAGTGGTAATGCAAAAGTACTGAAGATTTTATAACAAAATAATATGCAAAAGGACACATTTCATAACAATACATGATTTTGGCATAAACAACCTTTTATAGAATGCATACAAAAAATGACAAGTCAAGGCCTTTGGCCTCTTGATGAATTAAGACCTACCAAAAAATTACCTGGTATAATGTCTGCAAAATTAGACGTCTATTTAGAAACGTTATTCCAAGAAAATGTTTTACATATTTTTTTTGACTTTGACCAAATTGGACTACTTTTAACATTTCCTTAATGGGTTTCTTAAATCTGAGCAATAGGTTAATTATGGTTTATATTAATAGTGAAAAAAAACTTTAACAACCTAACATGTTAGATCTTTTTGCTAACTGGTGTAATAAATTTCCCCTTGTATTCCAGGCCCGTTAGGGGTCATCTCCCTTGTTTCGTACTCGTACGTGATAACAGTTTCACCGGATGTCGACGGAACGATAACGGTCCTCACCGCCCGCTCCGTTTCTATCTGAGACGTTGGATTCCAGGGTCGGCTGATATCCGTGTCGTTCTGGCCACTGTACGGAATGTGGTAGTCCACAGTCCCATAATGCTCTACCACTTCCTCCTGGGAGTAACTCGGCACGACTATGATGGGTTCCTCCACTGACTGGGACATACTCTCCGCTTTGATTTTCTTCTCCGGGGGTTGAGATGAAGGTTCCCTTGCCTTCCGTTCTTTAACTGGGTTGATTTTCATGCCCTCTGTAGGTTTCTGGAGATCTTCCTCCTTGACGTACAATCCCATGACTGCTGCGATGCCTTCGTACTTCTCATCATCGTAATGTTCTGGATGGTTTATTTTGGAGTGAGCACGGAATTCATTCACGGTGTTAGAACCCCATTCACAGAACTTGCAGGGGTAGATAAACAGTCCCTCGTGCTTTTTAGTCTTCATTATATGCTTGCGGATGTTTTCATGAGTGTTACATGAATAATCGCAGTATGGGCACTTGTATGGTTTTGAACCAATATGGATTCTCATATGACGACGAAGATGAGTTCTAGTACCGGCTTTGTAGGTACAGTATTCACAGTGGAAGTTTCTCTCTCCAGTGTGAGTACGGCTGTGACGCAGCAGTCTATTTTTAGTCCCTGCCGAGTACCCACACTGGTCACAGAGAAATGGGCGGTGTTTGGTATGGGACTTCATGTGAGCATCAAGTTCATTGGCAAAATAGAAACTCCAGTGGCAGTCTGGAACTCCACATTTGAATTTTTTCTCTCCATGTCGACGCATGTGGTGCTTAAGCTGACGTTGGAGGTAGAAAGACATTCCACAGACATCACACATAAGCTTCTGCACTCCCTGTTTCTCCATTGCATGCTGCCTCATGTGTTCCCTGTAAGACTCCACTTTCTTGTACTTCTTTCCACATATATCACAGCTCCTCTCTGTCAGTCCCAGGTGAGTCAGCAGATGGCGCCTCAGAGACAATGGCGACATGAAACCAAGGTTACAGTAGCGACATTTGAATGGACGATCACCAGAGTGAAGACGTAAATGCTCCAACATGTAATCCTTCTTCAATTCTTTTCCACACTCCTTGCAAGGTATTCTCTCATTCCTTTCACAGTTCTTAACGGTCTCTAAGAAGTCTTTGTATTTCTCCCATGTTATGTCGGGCCTTCCCAGTTCCTTAACCAGCAGCTCCTCTGAGTTTGGATGCAGATGATAAACATCAATGTGGAACTGCTTCCAGGCTTCATCTGTGAATCTCTTGTTACAGATGTGGCAATGGAAGATGCTTGGTTCTCCTTCCTCATTGGTATTGTTATCTTCCACTGTAGCTAAATTGGCCTGATGTTGCTTTCCAGAATAGTGAAGCTTCAGTGCTTTCTCATTGAGAAAAGTAATGTCACAAAGCTCACAGACTAGAATCTCCTTAGAATGAGCCTCCATGTAGTGAGGTCGAAGGTCAGCATACTTGTTCACCATGTAATCACAATGATTACACTTGAAGATCTTTTCTTGAGCTGGCTTATCTGTAAGTTTCTTGCCTCTTTTCTTGTATGGGCCTCGGGGCTTTTTCAGATGGTGATTGTTGTGTGCTCGTTCATACATTCCTGGGACGGGAGGTTTCTGGGTGTTGTACTTCAGTGTGGTGTATTTATCCTCCTCTCCTTCTTCTTCCTCTCCTTGTTCATTCTTCATTTCCTCACTCTTCACCTCCTTGTCTTCTTCCTTTACAGCCCCTTCATTCTCTTCCTTCACCTCTTCAAATTTTCCCTCTTTCTTCCCTAAGTATCTCATCATTTCCTTCTTCTTATGCTTCTTGCTCTTCATGTGCTGTGAGAAACTATTCCTTCCTGATAAAACTTTGTTGCAGAGTTCACAAATGGCTGCATCGCTGTCTCCGTGACGCCGGTTCATGTGAATCACAAAGGCATTGTAAGTTTTGAATTTCCTGTTGTTGCACTCGCTGCAAGAAAATTCTCCGACTTCATCTATCTGGGTATCTCCTATAATGTGACCCACAGAATTGAGCTCCTTCCTATGCTTTGACCTCACATGCCTCTTCATGTGTACCCTTGAGTGCATCTTCTTTTTGCAGAACTTACAGGCAGCCATAAACCACTTTTCTTTGATGATGCAGAGTTTTCTCCCTTTTAATGCAGCCTCTCTATGGCTTATGTCATTGATCATGTGATAAATCATATCCTCATTTGTATGACAACTATACTGACACAAAGTACACATCAATTCTCCTGGCAGTTTCTTACAATTGTTCCTGTGGACATTTTCTTTCAGGTGAGCTATCAAGTCATTTTCTTGATTAAAGTAGTACTGACATAACCCACATTGGAATGGACTCAGTCGAACAATAAATTTGTGGTACTGCTCAAGGGTCCTTATAGTGTCTTTCTCCCCTTTTGCTCTGTTTTTGTGTTTTTTAGATAACAAATGTCTTGTTAAAACATACAAGTTGGCAAATTTCTGATCACAGATTTTACACTCATGTTCTGTGATTTCCTTTTTGGGTTTAATTGTGACTGGAACTTCAGCCAGCTCCACAGAAGCAGTGTTTTCTTTACTTTCCTCTGCATTTTTGTCTTGCTCATTCTGAGTGGAAGCTGTTTCTGCCTCTTTTTCATCATGTTTCTCCTCTTGTTCGTCAGCATTTTCTTCCCTTTCCTCAGTCATGGTTTCGTCTTCATCTTCGTACATTTTCTTACCCGATCGTCTCTTTTTCTTGTGTGTTTTCCCACCACAATGAGCAGAGTAAATGTATCTAGATTTGAAAGACATATCACACGTACCACAATAATAATCTGAAGCTGACTCGCTGGATCTTGTTTTTATATGCTTTCCTTTCCCCTTTCCTCCACCTTCTCTATCCATGCCTGGTTTCCACTTCCCACCTGTGCTTATTATAGTCCTCTGGGATCGCCACTTTCCACCTGTGGAATGATGTGGCCCCTCTCCAGGTTTCCACTTTCCGCGAGTGTGCTCGGGTGGCGGAAAGTCACCGTCCGACTCGTCAGAAAAAGCTTCCTCTAGGAAATCTTCATCAAAATCTAAATCATCATCACTGAAATTCAAACTGTTAAGGATATTTGCTATAGGAAGTTCATTTATGCTGTTGTGCCCTTGGTCTCCAAACATGCCCTCGTTATGTCCAGAATCTTTGGACGTTGAAGATTTACTCTGAAGAGCAAGGGAAGAGAAGAAGTCTGGTTTTTCTTTACTTGTGGCATCAGACATAACAACGTTTGGATCCACCCCTTGTCCATTGCTTGGACTAAAATTATCACTCTTTTCTGTGGAGAAATCAATCACAACAGCTAGTTCTTGATCAGACAGACCCACAGTGGAATTGGAATTTGGAAGACCATTCTGTTCAATACCCAGGCTATGTGCTACTGTAATGGAATTCTGCTGACTGAGACTGCGCTGCATCATCAGATTCTGTGGTATAGGTTCCGAGGCCAGGCTGCTGGGATCCGTGGAGATGTTTGCCTGAGTGTCGTTGAGATTTTTAAAGGAAGATGTCAGAACCGTCTCCTGTTCAGTTGTGGGCTGACACTGACTGGCCAGAAGATGGAGTCCTCCCATGTAGTCCTCAGACTTCTCACTGAGGACGGTGATGGTCCCCACCACCTGAGTCTCCACCTGGCTGGTGGGGACACTGCTACAGGGTGGGGACTGGGACGGGGGTGAGGCACCGCTGGTGGGGACCGCTGGGATGATCTTCTTTCCCGGACAGTCGTACTTTTTGTGGTTGATATAGTTGAGTAGACCCACCACTGTCGACTGACAGACCAGGCAGACATGCATGTCAAACATTTCTTCATCCATCTGAAAATCCATAAAAGAAAAACATAGGGATGAGCAAGGTCCCTGTTCATATAAAAGAACTAAAAATCTGCAGTAAAACATTGTTATAGCTCTTAGTTAAGTAATCCTCAAGAAATGTTATGTAAATTAGTCAATATCAATTTTATCTGAAATTGTTCTGCAATTCTTGATTTGTACTTTTAATTTTTATTTGATGTTAGACTACTCTTACAAAAGCTGCAAATATATATGCGTACTCTCTGAAGTTGTTGAAAATTCCATACTTTGGCAGTTTATAATGAATTTTTTTGTTCTGATACCTTGCTTTTTTGTTTAATGCATGACAATAACTCTTTTTTATTTTCAGACTAAACTTTTGCAAAGTTGATGTTGTAATAAAATTTACAGTACCTGATAATTAAGAAATCTTGAAAGCTTCATTAACATGATTTATACCTTGAACTCTCTATGTATTCCTCTTTAGATCTCCTCTTCTGATTTTACTTTATTCCAATCTGTAAATAGTACTGACAGATTATTCATCCACTTTATATTTCATCATCAAAATACTGAAATACATTGTTTTAAAGTATCACTATATGACAATCAAGCATTGTCAAATTTTTATTGAAATGATGAAAAAATACTTATAGTGGTATTATTTTTTTAAGTCAATGATTTGTGAAAGCATTTTTAGAGAGACACATGGAAAAAAGTTATTGTAGATTCTTAAATATATGTTAGGAATTTTTACAAGTAATTTGTTGAGAAGCACTATGCGCAAATTCAAATTAGGCCTCTAACATTTTTATTTTCACATTGCTGATATACAATGTACATGTAAAACTGTTCATCTAAAGACCTCGTGAATTCTCAAAAATTGAATAATTTCTCTATTCCCTTGCCCATTACAAAAAAGGATCTATAAGTACATTGATATTTGACTGATCTTTAAGATTAACTCTTTAGGTCAGTTCTTTTTACATTTTTCTTTCTTTTTTTCCCACATCCAAGTACAGAAAGTTAGTTTTTTTTATATAACACAACTTTAATAAATGTGTATTCTCTTAAAAAAAGACGGGGAAAAAGAAGAGAAAAATGCTTTGCAAAAACTATGGGGGCAGCTGTGTAGCACAGTACAGGACTGCACACAATATATTCCAAGGTGACAAATGTCTGCATGTAAAACAAATGACCAGCCTTCACTCCCTGCTCTTTACCAGGCAGCTGCCTCAGTATGACATAAGAGACCTGCCAAAGTCACATGACAGCTTATGTTTTAAAATCCAAGTTAAAAAAAATACAAAAAATGCAGGCAAAAAAGGTTGTTTCTCCTGAAGCTGGGGGTCTATAAATCATGTGAGACAAGGCTGTCAAGTGGCCATTTCTGTGCTAAAACTGACAGCTGTCTGCAGCAAGTTTTTACCTCAGATTTCCAAGGTCAAGGTCATTTCTCTCAGTCTCCCCTCTGCAGATGATGACGAGACAGTTGTTAATTGTCATACATTCTTTATGCTGGGGTCAGAGGACTTCATCTACCTGAAAAAGAGGAGACAAATTTGAAATGAAATTATGTGTTATTTTATCATTGTTAGAAACTTTTTTGTATCAAATTAATATCTTAACAGATGCCGTTAACCAAAAAAAAAAAAAAAAAAGAGAAGATATTAAATGTTTTTGGGGTCATTTTCATTTACACTTGGAGAAAAGGGTAATATAATAATCTGATCACCTGCTTTTGGAGGCAACCTTAGTTTTTCAATAAGATGATCTTTTTAAAAAGCAGAATGATGTCCTCTAGTGTTACAAAATGGATAAAATATATTATCACTGAAATACTGAATTAGCATTAAAACTAGTCAACTATATTGGCATATTCTATGCTAAGTTCAAATGTTCCAAAAGTATCAATAAGTTAATATAAGTTGGACTCTGAAACACATCATCCAGTAATGGTAGCATGACATATGCCCCTTGATGCACCATTTTGACATTAATTTCAATAAATATGAAATCATAAATATGAAATTTTTATTTTAAAAAAAATTCTACATAGAAAAAAAATCAGAAATGAAGTATGTTTGCAACATGCTCACTGTGGTCATGACCCCCTACCCCTATTTCCTACAATCCATCATACAGTAGCTCTGTAGATAACTGATTTTCTCTAATAAGCTCATTCGCTCACAAATATAGGATAGGTTGAAGTCTTCCACATTTGATATTTAGATCATTTTTAATTTCAAACAATTACTTTTTAAAACTTTATACTACCAATGCCAACTGATACATAAAGCGTAACACCCCCCCCCCCCTCTCCCGACTCAACCAATCCTGACATTTATAACTTATGTAAATGACAGAATGGTAACGTTTTAGAAAGCAATCTTCATAGATGGAACTGGAAGTGTAGGTTTAAACATTGTAAGCACTGAATTTTTCCAGATTCACATCTACTCTTGGTAAATAGTGGAAACTTTAAATAAATAATCCAACATATTTTTGGGGGCTCATTTTTTTAACTAATAGAAATAAACAAATACTGACAATAAAAGGAAAATGTTCCTGGGTGCCTATTTCTATGCTCATTAAACATGTTATTAAGACAGAAACTCTTCAAACAAATTTAATAGGGACTGATAAATCCATAAAATGAAGAAGGATTTTATGAGTTGTAATATAAGATATAGCCTTGATTTTGTGTGGATAATGATCCACTCATTTGGATACTGAAATCGTGAACCTGTCCAATGATTTTGCAAATTCAGAAACTTGGAGAATTATTCAATGGACAAATGACAGGTGTTTCTGATACACAATAATCTGTTTTGCTCTATCTGTTAAGTTCATATTATTCCAAACTCCTATGCCACCCAATCAGGTTATGTAAAACATAAGGACAACTACGGCTGAATCAACAAATCAAAATGAATTGATATTCAAATGTGTATCCTATTGAACATGTTGAAACATTTACTTTCCCCAAACATATCGTGATAACAGATCAGAAAGTCTTTCCTTTAATCATGTTAATACTGTGTACTAAATGTAATTTCTACATGTTCAAGCCCACAAGATCATTTCGAGTGTTCAATATATAAAAATAAAACTGGCTAATATTATACAGTTATTGACTTTTGATGAGGTCTACTCGTGACTATACAGACCTGGTCAGGTATTGGTTGACCGAGGCCGAACTCATGACTATACGGACCTGGTCAGGTATTGGTTGACCGAGGCCAAAGGCCGAGGTTAACCAATACCTGACCAGGTCCGTATAGTCACGAGTAGACCGAATTCAAAAGTCAACAACCGTTTTATTAAATGTTCAGGAATTTTACAACAATTTTGACACTTGCGTTGTTGTCTCCATCAAATATAAACACTCATAATAAAATGCAAAGTGTAACATCACTTTTTACATGTTGTTATACTTCAACAGCTTAACAACTAGTAGCTGCAGATCTGTAGCTATCCGGAAAAATATATATTGATAGACCGGATAGCTACAGTGCCACCCATTGAAAAAACTGTATATTTATTGCGCAAAAAAAAGTGCGCTCGGTTTTCGATTTATTTCTGCATGTTCCTAAAACTGTAATCTCAAAATATTACTAACCGTGTGTTCCTAACATATTCTTTGAATCTTTCCACAACAAAACATTCGTCATAATTGTTGTTAATAGTCCTCCTGACCCTGATATTGTCATCATCGAACATTTCAATATATACTGCATTTTGGTTTCAAAGATAATTCGGTAATAAAAGCAAATCTTAATTGAGGTAAGAATTTGGAAGAAATAATCATCACTTTTTTTTCATGTTGCTATCAATATATATTTTTCCGGATAGCTACAGATCTGCAGCTAAACAACTAGTAGTTAAAACTGGAAAACAATATCATTAAACAATCAATACTCAACCATTTACTTTTAAAAGCATTTAATCTCCTTGGTACTGGCGTCTGACATGTTTACATTCACACCAACACATGCTTTGAAACACGCAATCTGATTGGTCGAAAAAACTGTAAGCAAACGTATGGTTGGTCAAGAGGGAAAACCCCCAAATAAACCACCCAGAACGTCATATGAGGTGAACTCACTCTGAGGTACATCTCAGGAAAAGGTCTCTAGACCAATCACAGAGCACCAAAATTCCTGATCATTTAATAAGAGCATATGTCCAATCTTACAGTTAAAATAATATGCTATTAATTAAATGGGCAAATGTAGCAAATGACTGAATGATATCCTTTAATTATACATTTTTGCAAAAATACTAAACTGAAACTTCACATGGTTGATAGATTGATACCTAATTGCAAGAGCATTATTCACAGCCAGGATTATCTATCAAGGGGAAGTCCCCATCCGAAAATGGAATTTTTGGGGGTAAAAGGTATCCACAGTCACAGAAAAATATGATTGATTGGATTACTTTTAATCTAAATCAGTTTTTTCTCATAAATCATTTTAGAGTGATTCTACAATTGTCTGCTACATCGAAGGTATATGGAAAGTATTCCACCCTGTAGTGAGGGCTTGTCCCAAGAAAAGTTTTAAACTTTTCTAGATTATCTCTAACTACAGTCCAAAATTGGCTATAATGTCCAAGCAAGGGGGAGATAACTTTCCAGATTTTCTAAGTCTTGTTTTGATTCTGTATTAGAAAAGAGCTTGAATAGAACAGCTTCAAAAGCACTTGCCATCGTACCTAAAAAACATTTTTTCTGATGTTTCTATGAAGTTTGAGATATCCCCTAGAATAACCAACCTGAGAGTTAGGTATGACTTGATAAGGGAGTTTAAAAATAGATTGAAAATTAAAATATATCTCCAATTTTCATATACAAATGAGTAATTTGTCAAAAGATGCACAAATTGCTTCCTCAGGTATTCCAATACAGATGCATATCACATTCAGGCAAGTATATACTCAAGCCTTTTTGTTCACCAAACAAACTTTCAAAAGCTTAATTCATCCATATCCATTATGTCTACATTTATTATAACAGAGTTGTGGAAAACTGCCGGTCATGCCGGCAAAACCGACAAAAAATTTGTGTGATCGGTAAAAATGCTACCAATGGCGGTCCAAATGACTGGCTGTAAATGAAAGCGAAAATAGCATGGTTCTCGTGACCTATTAAATTTACAACTGGGGCAGAATTAGGTAGAAAACATATTAAAGACGAGCTATGTATGAAAAATTTCCACAGAAAGAATTCAAGCACAGGTGGGGAAAGTAGTAAATCTAGTACTTCCGTCTGTCCCCGATTTTTGTTTTTTCACCAATCGTGTTGATATCTTTATTATCGATGCAGAGAATTTTTGCAATTTTTATACCCATTTTCTAGATTAATATAATTCCAAAATGTATAAATGTTTAAAAACATTACATTCACTATGCTAAATTAGCACTGTCACCTGCCCAAAAGCGGTGGTATCTAGTATTGTTATAAATGTAAAATTAAAGGAAAAGTTAGAAAACGGAAGAGGACTTGGAAATGGAGACTGAATTTTGTATTTTTATTAACATGATTTATCAGATAGATGTGTTATAAAGTGAATAAATGTTATGTTTTTTTTTCATTTTGTAACTTACTATTTCGGACCGACAAAAATCACTTTGGACCAGCTTATTTTATTTTTTTGCTGGTCCGATTGACTGGCTATCTGAAAAAGTTTTCCACAGCTCTGTAATCATAATTTCAACTTTCTTTATAAGTTCAATACTGGAATAACAGCATGGTGTATATAACGACACATTAGCTACTGTTTTATATAAGAAAACCAACGTAATACAACTCATGCAGTTCACACCTCTTGTCAATTATATCGACCAGTGGTATCTAGGTTATGATATTTTAAAGGATCTGGGTGTTGCATACATTTATGCATATTTGCAATTTTAGGGGGCCACTATTTCTCTTAAAAAGAACACTCAAGACAAACTGTTTTTAAAGGTCTAATCATGCTACTTAAAATTGCTAATTAAAGCTATACTATTACCGACGCATTACTATTAGATCTAGCTTATTTCAGCTATATACAGTGATATAACTTGATCAAGGTATTTTTCATATGCAATGAATAAGTTTTGTGTGTTAGTTTATGCATGTTTACATAGGTTCCTTGAAAAAATGACTGAAATTCATGTCTGTTGTGCAAATTAACTCATAGTTGCAACGTTGCAGATCAGCACACTATACCTCCTAGGTCAACAATATTTGCATCATGCATGGCGTCACCCCATTTTTGATAAAAAGTTTGCAATGAAAAACAGTCCTCTGCGTTCATGACATGGGTGTAGTTGTAATCTTTGTTATATAAATAACTAAAAGAAAATAGTACTACATAGGGAAAACGGGGATATTATATCAAATTAATCAAAATAAGAATTACTTCAACCTGCTATTGAAACCGGATGTCAGAAGCCTTTTGCATATACGCATGCGCAATACTTTTTAAACCTCCAAACACTGAAGATTTCCTTCCAGGTTAGGATTGGATGTTGGTGTGTTATATCAACAAGCAATGTAA